TAAAATGCTATTTTTACCTCATCGTTAGCTCTAAATGCATCATCTAAACTATGTTTGAAATGTTCTGGAGGACGGAGAATGCATGAATGAATTTATATCAACATTAAAGCACCATGACAAGAAAACCGTGTGAAACGTGAAGTGTCTGCAATAGAAGTGGAATGAGAAAAAAAGCAGATGATTGATTAAAAGGACATTTATTCTAACCTGATGTTATCTTACGAACAGCATCAGAGGATGAGAGAAACAGAGACGCGGCGTTACGGGACAGCGCTACTTCTGCTCACACAGACTTGTGAAGCGGGATTTTTCAAACAAAAACAAAAAGGTTAAAGCGAATCAACGCAGGAGTGTGACGTCCAAGGCAACCAAACACATTTCTCTACCGCAGCTTCCACTCCAGCACAACAAATCAAGCTTTGAAGCTCTACAAAGGGGTGGCGCACGGCCTCCATCCTGACCATGCAACTCATGCAGAGGGGTCGAATGGGGTCAGCGCAGCACACGAGGGTGGGTGCACACACGGCATGCATGGTGGCAGCAGAGGAAGAGGGAAAGCGGAACGTCGCGGCAGCAGCCTGGTGGCTCTCTAGAGCCGACATAGTAAAGCAGGTGCTTTGAAACAGTCCATCACATGACTTACAGGCACGTCAACTCGCCAGGGTCTGAGATTTCCTGCAGAAATCCTTCAGAACAAGGCGGGGAGGGAGGTATTTGCAAACGGAGAGAGGAAGGCGGAGGGTTGCAAGCAGGAGGAAAAAGGTGAAAGAAGAGTTTGATCACTTACAGTTGCTCAAGAGAAACAAGCCCCGTAAACGCTTGTCTGTCAATTGATTGGATTTCATTCTTGTACAAATAGCTGAAAGGAGAAATGATCAGAGGCATTAGTAACAAGCCTCAGCTCGAACTGGGTACACCGAGTAAAAAGTGCTTTCATGCTAGCGCTAATGAGCCCTAATCTGTACAACACCTGCATATATTAATGGTGTGGGGAAAAAGCAGTTATTACAACAATAATAAACACCAAAATATCTTTCTGTGTGAAATATTTTCCCCGTGTGTCTCCACTTTCTGTGATTTCCACACAGAAGACGTCAAACAGGCTGAAGGAATAAGGTTCGTGTTCAGGATTAGCGTCCTCGTGAGCGTTCTCCCTCCATGATGTGTGTCAGAGAAACGTGACACCAGGAAAGCAATGGCTTCCAGCTGTTGGGCCCTTCATCTCCCATCAGATCTCACTTTTTCACGATTGCACACGATGGGGGCTCAGAGCAACATCGGTGGAAGAGATTGTTTTCCCTCTGAATCAAGTCCCGCCTGATGTGAGATGGCGGGAAGCTTGTTTGTTTTTTTATTTTTATTTTTTTTTTAGAAACAAACAATATTAGGCTCTTATTGTGAAAGAATTCAAATCAACAGCTATTTTTTACAACATTTAGATTCAAATGATAACTTTACAAATAAACATTTAGAATCAAATCTAAACATAAATGTGGTTCGAATCTAAATATTTAGCTTGCGTACGAATTCAGACTGGATTAAAGTGGAAGTGTCCTATCAAAATAAAAGCGGGGTATCAAACACGGTTCCCACGGCAGGATGATTGTGCCAATTATTATTAAATATTAATTATTCCCGCCTTGTGTGGTGTGTTACGAGTGTTCTGGTAAGGTTGGAAGCACGTCGGGAACGCTCCGATCTTGAACTTGTTGGAATTTTTGATCTGATTTTTGGGGGCAAACGAACGTGCTACCTGTTGAATGTGACGTTTACCCAGGTGAGGTGACAGAAACGAGCTGCACGCTCCTCCTCCGCCATGTTTGTTTACTTAGAACGTCTGCGAGTGAAAGCGTGTGCGGTAATCGCCGTGGGATCAGAGCTGATGCATGCGTGATTGTTTTTATCACCACGTGTGTGGTCGGTCGCTCATGCTGTGAAAATCCTGCCATGTGAGCCGGGCTTTAGAATCCCTCTGACGGGATGGTGTGTGTGTTTCACAAAGAGCACGGAGAACGCGGACAGGAACATCGACGCAGGGTCTGTGTGTAGACAAACTCATGTTGCTCTACCATCAAAGAGCCAGTTTGGACGCGAGCTCCCGTCGCTCAGCTTTAAAGCCTGAAAGGAGCTAAAAGTGACTAAATAAAGTTAACGACAGCTACTTTAATACCAGCACCCCTTAAATCAGACGACAGGCCTGGGTTTGAGAGCGGAGGCATCTTCACATTCAAGCACGGAGACTTGATCTGAATTTAGTCCAAATGCTGCACCGCTGAGTCCGTACGCTCACTCCAAACCGTAAATAAGAACCGATTCAGTCCCGGCAGCACTTCTCCTGACGCTTTGTTTTAACTTGTAAAGTGCCTGTATTTGATGAAGCGCCTTCTAGAGTCCTGGAACCCCCCAAGGCGCTTTACAACACAATCAGTCATTCACCCATTCACACACACATTCACACACTGGTGGGGATGAGCTACGATGTAGCCACAGCTGCCCTGGGGCGCACTGACAGAGGCGAGGTTGTCGAGCACTGGCGCCACCGGTCCCTCCGACCACCACCAGCAGGCAAGGTGGGTTAAGTGTCTTGCCCAAGGACACAACGACAGCGACAGACTGAGCGGGGCTCGAACCTGCAACCTTCCGATTACGGGGCGAGCGCTTAACTCCTGTGCCACCGTCTCTTAAAGAGAAAGCCACCCTGATAAACTACATAAATGAGTCTCTAATCGTGGTTTAGACATGCACGGCACTTTAGGGCTTCAAAGTTCAAATTTAAATATTCTGCCTAAAACTGTCAGTGTTGCGCCCTCTTCAGGTCAAAACTCTGCACTACGTTTGAATTTAAATCAGCCATCGCTATTGGCTATGAGGAACCCTATGATGTTAGCTGGTACCAAATGATGTCACAATGCCACTGTGTGTGTGTGTGTGTGTGTGTGTGTGTGTGTGTGTGTGTGTGTGTGTGTGTGTGTGTGTGTGTGTGTGTGTGTGTGTGTGTTTTAGCAGCTCCACCCTCTTGACCTGCCAGGCAACTCCTCCTTGTGGTGCATTTTTCAAACGGAAAATGTGAGTGGACTACTGTTTCTACTTTTATCTTGATCTTGGCGTAAAATCTACTTTAAAACAACACGACTAAACTTAATTATCTAAATAAAAATGCTTGTTTACTTCAGGGGTTTTGTTTTAACTTGATGTACGGCTGCAAAGTTATTCCCAAAATCTTGCAAAAGGCCAACAGGTTTTCCATCTGAGATCAGACAGCAAGCTCTAATGGAGACCTAATGTGATGCAGTTTCAAAAATGTAAAAAACAGATCAAAACCAAATGGATTCCCATGATTAGATCTGGTTGTTCTGCAGACGTCCACCTGGCCATTCGGTCTTAAGGAGGGGACGTACTGAAGTCCAAAGGAAGAGAAGAGGCTATCTGTCCGATGACTAAACAGGAAGAGGGGAGAGAAACCAGACACCTGAACATGATCACAGAGGTCGTGGCGGCGGTTCATTCTTCACATCAGCTGTGCTTTTAGTCAGGAGGGTTCTCTCATTAAAACTAAACAACTGCAGGGTTTCATCACAAACACCGGAGGTGGAATGTCAGGAATGTGCTCCGAATCCTTCTCTTAGGAGTCAAATGTGCAGATTTCTCCTCATTTTTCACTCAAATGTGAAAAGATTTCTACCCACCAATGCTAAATAAAGTTACACGTAGGAGAGTCCTTTTATCCTGTTAGGAAAATCCACAAAAAGCACAGACATCAAAGTGCAGCTCAGCATGTTTGGATGATGATCTTTGAGTAAAACTCATTCTTAGACTCAGAAACTAAATTTCACACAAGAGAAACTCACAGATATTTGAGGTTTTCGAGGTCTTCAAACGCTCCCCTGGGGATCCTTTGGATATGATTGTTGTTTAAAAGTCTGAAAAACCAAACAGGGGTTATGATTAAAGGCGTTCGCCATCTCCATCGCTGTCACGTGGATTTTAATGTTCTCGCTCGCTAACTGGAAATCACACTGAACTGCCTCGGTGTACGACATGTGCTAAACAAACAAAGTTGCCTTGTTTAAATGCATTTTTCCTACACACAGATAATATTGTCAGTGTGTTTTAAAGTCCAACTCAAACGTTTGTGGTGCTGAAGCCTTAAAAAGAGCTGTTGAGCATTCCCGGTAAATCCAGACTGACTGTCTGGATAGCAGGAAAAGCTGGGATTTCTCCCAACTTATTGGACTTAACTTCAGTTTAGTTTAAATCAAAAGCAGAATTATGACTGAGAAGCTTTTGGACCCTTTTTTATAAATGTCCCATTTCACATATATTCATTGTTTTGTTAAACCAATTAAAACACTAAAAATGGCCAATTTGACTTTTATGATCGAAAACATCTGAGATGTGTGTACATCTTTAAAAATAACGTAAGTTTTTCTTTGTACTAGTGCTAAATATTATTGACTTCCTGTTTTTGTCTCAACATGACGTTCCAGCAGGGGGCGCTGAAGTTAACGAGATAAACAATCAACTGTCCCCCTAGTGGCTGGTTCCAGTATATGTTTGAAGTCCCGCCCCCTCTAGATAGACAAAGGAGACTGATTAGAAAGTAGAAGGATTGCTCAGCATTTTATTATCAGAGAGACAAATTATTGTGATATATTAATATCATGCTTTATTATCAGCATCACGATAAATCAGCATCATGGTATGTGATGATGATGATGATGATGATGATACATCATCGATCTGATCCTTCAACAAAGAAAGAGAAGAAACAGATCCAGGATGTTCCTTATATTTTATTAATTAACTTTATTTTAACTTTTCACGACAAACGGAGCACGCTCATGCTCTGTTGTTTTACCCTCCCACCGTCCTGATGGGTGTGACCGTAGCAGGGGTGAGGAGTGAGCACCACCTCACCCCTGCTACGTGGACCTCAGGGGATAAACCATCAACCCTGCTCGATGGTCAACTTTCCTCGCGGGGTCACGCCCATTAGGACGGTGGGAGGGTTAAGTAAAGGCAGGAGGGGAAATCAATGACTGCAGCCCTAGTTGCAAAGGCCAAAAAGCTTAATCAAAGCCAAAAGCCACATAAAGTGTGTGCAGGATCACATCCCTCATCCATGTTGGAACAGAGAGACTAACTGATGGTTGGCTGTGGGCTACAGTCTCACTGCTGTTCACTCGGCCTAGGAGGAGGTGGACTCACAGTGTGTTGAGGTTGTTTAACCGCCGGAAGGAGCCCGGCTGTAAATCCTTGATTTTGTTGAACCTCAGGTCTCTAAAAGCAAAAGAGAGAACGTGTTAAATTCAGAAAGAACATCATCAAAGGTACTTTCACATCAATGCAAACATTTTACAGCTTTGTGCTGGAAACCAGCTGATGAGCCGTCACAGAAACATCCTGAGTTATCTGCAGAAAAAAAGCTTTTGGTGAGTTTTAATCTTGAGGGTAGAGGGAAATCCCCCCCCCCCCCCCCCCCCCCCCCACACACACACACAAGCTGGGGATTGCAGCAGTCAGTAGACCTGAGAGTCTGTCTGAAGATGATAAGAGCCTGAGCACCAACCACTTCTAGTTCAACATGCAGGTAATGCGGTGACATCATGCAGCGTTTACGAACATCAGTTGGAACGATGATGCAACACATGTGGAACCTGAAGTAATCTGATCCTAACCTGCAGTCCAGAAAAAGACAAAGCATCCAAGCATGAACAAGATCTGTCATCTTTAAAATGACCTTGTAGAAACTGAATGTGGCTTCTGTTGTTTATTTAAAAAAAAAACAACTCAACCATATACAAGCTTCCTGAACCACCTTTAAATGCAATAATGTGAATGAATCATCTGCTGCAAGACCGATTCAGCCAGTCATGTCGTCATTACGGAATGACTGTTGGTTCTGCATGTGTTCTGTTTAGCTCCGCTGAGACATTTGCAGCATCTTGATCCTTTTCTCTTCCACTTAGTTGCAGGTTTGCTGCTCGGTTTGGCCTCATCTGGTCCAAGCATCAGCTGTCAGACAGACTTGAAAACAGAGTCCTATATGCTGCAGGCTCCATGGCTGCAAAACTAGCCCAAACCATCAGCCCTCCACTGCCGTGCTGACGGCTGATATGAGCCGTTTGTCTCATATAAAGCCCCTCTCAAGATAAAAATCACGAGGCGTTTAACAAGAACAAAAAATTCTAAATACAAAAAAATCTTCAAAATGGTTAAATTTAGAAATACAATTTTATAAAACTATTCTGATTAAAAGATCTAAAGAGGAAAGTCAGTGGATCCCGGGAAAGGCAGAGATAATAATAATACATTTTATTTCAAATGCCTTTCAAAGCTCTCAAGGTCACTGTACAGGACAAAATATAACAAGCAAGCAATACAAACAACAAGAAATAAATGCTAAAAGTAATTCCCAAGGGTAGAGTCGGAGCAGTGCGATGGATAATAGACTAAAAAGAGTAGATGGATGGAGGACAGTTACAATGAGTAAGCCAGGCGGAACATGTGAGTTTTGAGTTGAGACTTGAAGGTTGAGAAGGAGTTTATATTGCGGAGGTCGGGCGGTAGAGTGTTCCAGAGTTTTGGAGCCGAGCGGCTGAAAGCTCTGGCCCCATAGTACTAAGTCGAGTGCGAGGAACGGACAGGGAAGGTGAAGATGATGATCGGAGAGAGCGAGTGGGAGTGACAATGTGGAGGAGATTAGAAAGATATGGGGGAGCGAGATTATGGATGGCTTTAAAGGCATGAAGAAGTATCTTGTAGTCAATTCTGTATTTGACAGGGAGCCAGTGAAGTTGTTGCAAGACAGGGGTGATGTGATCAAAAGTGGAGGTCTTAGTGATTATCCGGGCAGCTGAATTTTGGACTAACTGTAACTTGTTGAGTGATTTTAAAGGGAGACCAGAGAGGAGGGCATTACAGTAATCAATGTTACTGGTGACCAGGATGTGGACCAAAATAGCAGCGGAGTGCTGACTGAGGGAGGGGCGGAGCCGATTGATATTGCGTAGATGAAAATAAGCAGTTTTTATTGTGTTGTTAATATGAGGAATGAAAGATAAGGTGTTGTCTAAGATGACACCCAAGCTCTTAGCTTTGGCGGTGGGGAGAAGTGTGGTGTTGTCGAAGCTGAGTGAGAATGAACTGGTCTTGGATAGAGATGACTTGGTGCCAGTGAGGAGGATCTCAGTCTTATTACTGTTGAGCTGTAGAAAGTTAGAAGCAAACCAGGATTTGACTTCGGTGAGGAAACTGAGAAGGGAGGATGAAGGGAGTGGGGGGTTTGGTTGGGTAGAGAAGTAGAGCTGGGTGTCATCGGCGTAGCAGTGAAAATGAATATTAAATTTCCTGAAGATATTGCCAAGTGGGAGTAAGTAGATTATGAAAAGAAGGGGACCTAAGACTGAGCCCTGAGGAACTCCAGAGGTAACTGGCTTGGGGTTAGAGTGGAAGGTGCGCAGTTGGACGAATTGAGTGCGATTAGATAGATATGATTTGAGCCAATTTAGAGGAGTTTTTGAAATGCCGATGGTGGATAGTCTATGGAGTAGAACTGTGTGTGAGATGGTGTCAAATGCTGCGCTGAGATCGAGTAGGATGAGAATGGAAATCTGGCCTGAGTCTGCTGCAAGAAGGAGGTCGTTTATGATTTTGATCAGAGACGTTTCTGTGCTGAGATGGTAGAAAGAGCAGAACCAGGAGAGGGAGATGAAGGTCAACCAAAACCTGAACAGGTGAGTTTCAAGGAGACCACTGAGTCCACTGATCTCAGGCTCAGGGGGAGAGAGGTCCAGAGTCTGGGGGCCACAGCAGCAGATGATCTGTCACCTTTGACCTTTAGCCTGGTGCTGCACAACCAGTAGGCTTTGATCACTGGACCTCAGGGACCTGCTGGAGGTGTAGGGACTAAGAAGATCACCAATGTAAGATGGTGCTTGTCCATGTAAGGTCCTCTAGACCAGAACCAGGATCTTGAAATGAACCCTGAAGTTGACTGGCAGCCAGTGAAGCTGGAGGAGAAGCGGGGTGATGTGGGTGTGTTTGGAGGACTTGGTCAGAAGCCGAGCACAGGCGTTCTGAACCACCTGTAGACGGTTCAGGGAGGTTCTGCTCAGACACGTGAAAAGAGAGTTACAGTAGTCTAAGCGTGAGGAGATGAAGGTGTGGAGAACTGTCTCAAGTTCAGAGTGGGACAACGTTCCTGAGATGGAAGAAGGAAGGGCCAACAGGAAGAGGCATGGGTCATTGGCCTCAGAACACAGCATCTTCATTTACATGAAGCCCTGCAAACCTAAGCTCTGTATTCTCGTGTTTCTTGGATCCCTTTCAAACCTTCTGGTTCAGTCTTTTCTAACCAAACCGCTGTGAATGAATGGAGTTGTCGTCAGTGAGTAACGACGGACTCCGGATTGGATGGAAACAGCATTCCCAGATGTAAGGACAGTAGTTTTCTCCCAAAGTTTGAGTGGTAACACACACACATGTATGCTCAGAAGCGCCTCGTGATTTTTGCCTTGAGAGGCGCTATGGAAATGATATTTTCTTCTTCTTACAGAGATGGCTCTTCGGACGATGCATTTTCTTCATGTTTTGATTGAACAGGTTACAATGATTCCATTAGCAAGGTGTCTCAAACTGTTTTAGTCCCCAAGAATTCCCACATTTGCATACAGAAGCTATTTTATAACCTTTACATTTCCACATATTTCACATTTAATGGAGTTTCCAGTGGACATATTAGGAAAAGCAAGTGCTACAGTAGCTAGCTCTGAGCTAATTGCGTCTGTAAATGAACACAAACATTTAAGGTACAATAATCAAAGTGAAATTTTAAGGTGGTGTAAAAGGTTGTCAAATAATGTTTTCAGACAACAGAAACCGGTTCCAGGCGGTTTAGCTGAGGCTCATCTCTCAGTACAGAACTAGTCTCTGTTTCTTTAAGCTGAGGATGTTCAACCTACAACAGATGAAATATAAATTCTTTATAATATTTTTACAAATATAAATGGATGGGATTAGTTTAGGACCTGATGTGTTTTACAGAAGGAACGATGGTGAATTTTTAACACATCATGTAAATGAAACCTGCCATTTAAACAAACTAGAGCCTTTAAGCCCTTTTGTGTTTAATGTTGTCTAAAATGATTTTTATGGTTCTTTAAGCCAAAACATTCATCAGTATAAGTGACCATTCATGGTCGCCTGCCAAAGTGAGAAAGATCTGTCCTCTCAGAGGCTCAGGAAGTCAGCCGATGGCCTCCGACAGGCTCAGAAAGACACAACAAACCGTCACGACGTCTGGCGGTCGCAGCGTGGGCTTTCAGTTCTTTACAATCAGGTGGAATGTAAGATTTCATGTCCCAGTTTCAAAGAGTTAAAAAAACTGATTTTATTAGCTTGTTATACATTTTCATCAATCTAAAAGTCATTTTCCTGCATAAAGAAATAAAAAATAATGTTTCTGAAGGTTAAAATATGTGTTTACCTTAGGTCCTTACATCTGAGCACATGCACCATCACATAACGAACACAAATCAATCCATCAACAGGTGTGAGAGCTTTAAATACTTTAGATCAGCGCTGATGATCTGGAGCTGTGTCACTGAGCAGAGGAAAGAGCGAGCTGCATTTCACAGAAACACTCAGAAAACCATCCTTCACTAGGGTCTCGGTGCAGAACGACGGTCCAGAGGCAGAGGCGGTCCCGTCTGCTCTGCCCCGCGGGATCAGGAGGAGGATATGTGGGCGGAGCTACGTGCTCCATCAGGCAGCACACAGTCACTGTGACCAGCACATCTTAATGTTAATAGTTGGTGATGCGATGAACCGGACCTTGTTTCTTGGTTTTATTGGACAAGACGTCTGGGTTTCCTAACAAAGGAGGCCACATCAGGTCAAGCAGACTGGGTCGGATCAACCGTGAAGGAAATGTCCAGCTGATCAGAACGTGCTGGCTTCAATAAGTTCACGTGTTCAGATAGAAAACTCGGACGACAGAACATCTTTCAGAAAAAAGACACGCGTTGTCAAAGGAGAGCAACGAGGTCCTCAAGTCCAACCCTGCTTTTGCCATGTTGCTGGATTTGGGCAGCTCGAGGTGTCGAATGCAGCAAACCAAAAGGGCAGCGCCATTTCCAACATGACCTTACTACAAAAATACGTAACTTGTAATGGTCGTGGCAAAATGGTTCCGCCTGAGCAAAGCTGCAAGAACTCATCAGCAGGGGCACACCCTTAAATTTGCACTACTTAAACGTCAGGAATGTAAGCGATGGTGGCTGTAACGCTAATCGTAGAACAACGTTAGCACAGGTTGACGCTAACATTAGCACAGGTTGATGCTAACATTAGCACAGGTTGATGCTAACATTAGCACAGGTTGATGGTAACGCTAGCCTGAGCTGCTAATGGCTTTATTGGATGAGAAGGAAAACGACAAAGGAGAATGTCAGAGCACATGTAACCTTCCAGGATGCAATGGGAATATCCAGACTTCCAGAGATTTTAAAGCCGCCTGAGTTAACCGGCCAGTCAGCAAGCAGCTCATTTAATAGTCATGTCCTGGTTTAGTGAGCGGGGAAACCATAGCGGGGGTTGTTTGTCCATTTGCCTGGGCCATTTAACCCCCATTTGAGCTGTCACATACATACAGAACAGTTTCCTATTGTAAAATAAAAAAAATTCTAGAACACTTTAAAGAGCAAGTCACCCCCTGCCAGATTCTTACTCAACTCCAACTTCCTGTTTGAGAAATGCGCAGCCCGAGGACGGAGCCACTAACAAATACACACACTCACGACATTGTGACATCATAATGTACCATCTAACATCATAGTGTACCTCTTAGCCAATAGCGATGGCAGATTTAAATTCAAATTCAGTGCCGAGTTTTTGCCTGACGACGGTGCAACGCTGACAGTTTTAGGCAGATTATTTAAATTTTAACTAAGATTAACTAAAGTGCCAAACTATTGACTGAACGTGTCTACAGAGCAATTAGACACTCATTTATATAGTTTATCAACAACAAAAGGTTGATTTGAGGGTGACCTGCTCTTTAAGGAACAAGACTAAAGCATGTGTGTGGCACTCAGCTCACGGAACAAGCTACAAAAACCGTTTAGTAAACAAAACAGTTGAAAACCATGTAGCAGATCAGGTCATCAGAAAATGACGACAACTTTACTGAACCTGTTCCCACACTCAATAAATGTGTCTGTTAACTCCCGTTAATGTGTTTTAGACTGCAGTGAACCGGAGGGAACTCTAACAGCAACACTAACAGCCCTGGAGAGGGGCTGACAGGCTGTTTCTTGGATTTGAATAAACAAAAGGGCCTAGAAATGAGCAGCCTACCCAACTCAATTACCCACACAGGAAGGCAGACCAATAATCCAGCTGCCAAGCTGAGAAAAACATGGCTTCAAGTTGCACCACAAAGGACGCTTTTTGTACTAAACCTTCTAAAAGAGTCCGAACACTCAGTTGGCATCCTTTTAGGCACATTAGATCGGAAAGCTGCTTCCCAGTTCAGATCATTTAGTCTTTTAAAAGTTAGGAAATCTATGAAAGGAGGCTCAAGAAAGAGCACAACTTCAACCCCAAAGTGTGGCTCAGGTATTAAAGGCTTCAACGTTCCAATATCATTCCTCCGAACTCTTCAGCTCTACAGGCACCGAACCGAGGCCCTGCAACAACCGTCTCTGTGGGCAAATGAGCAAAGCTTTGGAGATTTCTGGCTTTGCATTCCATAAAGCAGCAGACAGAGCCTCACAAAACCTGACTGCAGCAAATTCCAGACTCTCCTAAGTCCCACTGTCACTCAGGCTGACCAGGATGGCTGTTTACAGACAGTAAAACAGCAAAAACATCTTAAACACGTTAGTTATTCATCTGCACTCACAAACTATGGCACAAGGGGAAGAAGAAGTCCAAAAATGAGGTTGTGCTTATGTGTTCAAGCTAATCCAGGAGTTAGCCCATCCCACCAGGAGTTGTTTTATTGCTGGGTTCAGACAGAAATCTCCAGTTGTATTTGCATTAGCAGAAAAAATAAGATCTACCAACCATTAATTCTGTCCTTTTTCCTAAAAAGACCTGGTTCCACTCCTGATGAGGATCACATAGTTAAATTCAACCCAGACTGAACGCTCTGAACAATACAAATCCACACGGTTTAGATTTAAAGTCAGCATGAATGAGCCACTAAATCTGTGAGAAAGAGCATAACGGAGAGAAGACGTAATCTACTAGTTCCCCCAGAAAGGCGCACCAGAGGGAAGACAGCTGAGACAAACGTTGGGCCAGAAAAAAAGAAAACTGTTCTGAGCTGTTGGCAAAAGAAGTCATTTTGTGTTTTCCACACATGGAAATGAACGCTAAATGGTAAAACAGATACGGACCCATCTGTGAGCCTGCTGTTATTTTATTATCTATGGACAGAAAACGAATGCAGGAAAAATATCCACCAAACGAGTAAAGGTGTGAGAATATGCACAACCTGTAATCACCATATTGGTTTTAGAGCTGAAAAAACACCACGTAAACATTGGCTTTAGTGTGGCAGCAGAAAAATGTTCATCTACAAACGGAAACGGTGGACAGAAGCCCGGCCTAGCATTAGCAGGTCAGGCTAGCGTTTGCAGCAGCCCGGCCTAGCGTTAGCAGTTCAGGCTAGCGTTTGCAGCAGCCCGGCCTAGCATTAGCAGTTCAGGCTAGCGTTTGCAGCAGCCCGGCCTAGCGTTAGCAGTTCAGGCTAGCGTTTGCAGCAGCCCGGCCTAGCATTAGCGGTTCAGGCTAGCGTTTGCAGCAGCCCGGCCTAGCGTTAGCAGTTCAGGCTAGCGTTTGCAGCAGCCCGGCCTAGCGTTAGCAGTTCAGGCTAGCGTTTGCAGCAGCCCGGCCTAGCGTTAGCAGTTCAGGCTAGCGTTTGCAGCACCCCGACTTAGCATTAGCAGTTCAGGCTAGCGTTTGCAGCAGCCCGGCCTAGCGTTAGCAGTTCAGGCTAGCGTTTGCAGCAGCCCGGCCTAGCGTTAGCAGTTCAGGCTAGTGTTTGCAGCAGCCCAGCCTAGCATTAGCAGTTCAGGCTAGCATGTTTCTCTCACCTTTTCAAGATGACTAATTTACATTAGAAAGCAGCTCTGATGCACCTCTGACCTTTACTCACCCAAGCTGACTTTATTCAACAATAATAAATGTAGCTTAACACTCTACCGCCCCTTTAATGCTGCTGTTCTAGTTTAAAACAGAACCAGAAACCACATCTAGCTGTTGTTGTTGGATAGATGCAATACAATAAATCAAATGTTTTGCACTTGGCTGAAGGTATGACATCATGTTGTTCCTGGACCAATACAATACCGGTAGTCTGAGACTGAAACCAGTTACAGATCATCCATATGACGAAGAGGGTCATTTTCAGTTATGTTGGAACTAAACTCTTGACCAGTGTGTAGTGAACCATCCTAGATGTTCTGTTGGTTCCAGGACGGGCTGCTGCCAGCTGGATGAGCACGTTCCAGGTCAAGTGTCAGTACAGAAAACTTCCACAAGCGTCTTTCTCCCGACGAACATCCCATCAAACATTACATTTGTAATTAAAACTAACAAAACTCTAAAATAAAAGCAGTTATTTAGAGATTTTCTTGCTTCCTTAGGCTATAACAGGACAACTCTTCAAGCTCTCCTGCTGCCAGTTTGTTGTCAGGAAGTTCTCCTGGTGCATGCAGCTGGCCACCTTTCAAAAAGCAGACTGAAGGAAACCCGGATAGGAAGTCACGTCCCGACATGACAGAAGAGCAAAGTGAAGAGGGAGACACAAGTAGCTGCAGCTTCAAAGCTCCAACAGAATGAAAGCGCCTGTAATCACAATCCTTCCACTGGTGCACGCATCAGACTTTCATCTCCACTGCAGGCTCTGTCCACGGCCGCTGTGACCTCACGGTCCAGGACTAGTGGCTTATTGGCTGCTGGACTCGTCCCTTTGTCCCCCTCAGTGCATCCATTTATAGACCCCCGTATTAGAGACAGAACCGTGGCTGATGTCTGGAGTGGCTGTCCACATGTGGAGCTTTGTGTTCTGGCAGCCCACTGAAGGGATTTGTTTGGTTGGCTCCTGACAGGGAGGACACATTTCACAAGTGCTCATCAAGTTAGAAGAATTTCCTTCCTTTCATCTCAGAATGAAAGGAAACTGTGAAGTTCAACCTGTTAAACGTGTGGGAAACGGAAAGAGATCCAGAGGTGGGAATGGCCCCAACAAGCCTCAAAGTCATGCATCAAATCATTCCAGAAATGGTTCTTAAAATGGGTATTGATCACAGATCAATGAGGTCAAATGCATTTAAACAGTGATTCAAGCTTTATTTCTGCAGAAATCCAAAATAAGGAGCTCTGAAGTTTTTATATCAGTCAAATCTGATGTGGAACAGAAATCCCAACTGATGCTGCCCTCCAGGAACTTTATTCTGGAGAGTTCATGTGCGACCCTAACCCTCCACTCATTAACCAAACAGCTGACAGGTGTCAGGAAAACGTACCCCAACCCCTGTGTCCGGTGGGGGTTCCCTTTCAACTGAAAATCACCGAATAAAGTTCGTTTTATTGAAGAGCTTGTGATACAACTTGCGCAAAGGTGCGCAACCCCCCGGTCGACCCCAGCCCGGTGCCGTTGTTGGTTCCTGTAGTTTAGATGTGGGAAAAAGGAGCAGTACTCACAGAATGGTTGTCTGAGGAGACACCACCGGCACGGCTTCCAGGTTCAGATGCATACATCTCACGGTGGTTCGGAAGCACAGACAGCGACTCGGACAAGAATGCGCAAACTGCGCAAAGAAGAGGAAGAAAGCCGCAGAAGCGAGGAGAAGACGCGGAGAAAAGTGCTGGCGACTCCGGATCGCCATTTCCAGCAGTGAGCCGAGCAGAGCCAGCAGCTCTCTCTCCACACACACACACGCGCGCGCGCACACGCGCGCGCACGCACGCACACACACACACACACACAGTGGGAGAGGCTTCACGCAGCACTGGGTCCAACTGGGTGGAAAAACTAGTCGAGATTCTTGAACCGAACTCCGACCGTTCCGTTGATAACGCACAGATCAAATAAAAGACTACAACTTCCGCCTTTCACGTTAGTTAAACACAAACTTACTACAAAAGAAATGAAAAACAGAATCAAACTAATGATCTGATTGGGAATTTCAGTAAAATATTTATATTGTGATTATTTGCTTTCAATGTTTTCAATGTTTGGAAGTTCGCCCCAAATTCGGAACCTCTACAATGCCAAATGAAAAGTACAAATATGTGATTAAAGTATTAAACATTAAAAACTCTTAACTGGAAGCCTCGCATTATACATGAGGACCCTAGTAAAGGTTATGTTATCATCGTTAGCTCTATCCAGATATATGCTTCTGGATGGATCTGAATAGAGCTGTAGGCTGGTCGGTGACAGCCCTCCACCCCAAAGCTAACAGCTAATCTGCTGACCGACCCAGGTCCAGGTGTGTCCCATTCCCATCTCACCTGTCAGCCTGTACAACACACGCCTCCTAGTGGTGGCTTTGTCACTTACCACATGATCTGTTTCTCTCTGATGATGTCATGAGTCACGTGCATCCAACTGAAAATAAAAAAGTCAGAAAAAATATTCCCCTCAAACGTTTCAGCAGCTCTTTCATGTTCGTAACGTCCTTTCTGCTGTCACACCAACATTTCCCCACTAAAGGGGTTTCTACGCTCTTCTTTGTGTGAAGCCACCGTCGTTGCCCCAGACTTTTGCTTTAAAGCTAGGCTTTGCTGACCTCTGCTGGACAATTTGAAAATAGCAGGACTAAATTCGTCAAAGAAGCCCAAAAACAGATCAGATCAACAGACAGAAGCCCTAAAAGCAGCAAAATGAGTAGATAAGGAAAACAAACGGCTGTCACCTTTTCTAGTTTATAAACAGATGAATAAAAACAAAATCTCTTTTAGATAAATAATTTTCCTCCAGATTTCATTCATGTTAAAATAAAGATTTATTTTATTAAAGTGTGTGCCCATAAATAGAAATAGTTCCGATTATTAAAATCTTTCTCACTCCTCATCTAAACTCCTGTTCTGCTCCAAAGTCATAAAGTTGTTAGAAAAACGAAAAGAATCAGTTGGACTCAGAAAATGAGTCGAATTTTCTTTTTTGTTGATTTTTACGGTTTCTGTATAACTTTAATAATTTAGCTTTGATCACAGCATCAATATAGATTAGTATAATCCCAGTGATGCTCCCTGTGATGCAGCTGCTGCTCCAAAACATCCATTCACCCCGGGGGGGGGGGGGGGGGGGGGGGCTGGTGCCCAACAGGTGGGGTGCACCCTGGATGGGTTGTTAGTCCATCCAGGGCAACACAGAGACAGGACACACAACACACACACACACACACACACACACACACACACACACACACACACACACACACACACACACCTAAGGACAATTAAGAGAGGCCAATCAGCCTGACAGTCATGTTTCTGGACTTTTGGAGGACGCCGGAGTACCTGGAGAGAACCCACGCAGCGGCACTAACCACTGCACCACTGTGCAGCTGCTCTAAAACAAACAAACAAACAAACAAACAAAGACGGTAAAATCAGAGGCTATTTGGATTTTTGCACCACATTTTCAACTCCTGACTGCTGTAATGTTCAGGATCATGTAGGTCAAAGGTCAAAAACTATTGGTAAAATGCCACCCTGTCATTTTTCTCTGTGTTGCTGTTGTTTGTTTATTTATATGGAAGAAGATTAGTGCCACGGAAAAGAAAAATATACAGAATTTAGGTTTTCTGACTTTATTCTCAGAAGTAAAAAGTCAAAAATCTGAGAAAAACTGTCTGATTTTGTTTATTTTAGTGACCCAAATCCTCTTCCGTACTAGAAAACATGTTTTAATGTCTGATTAAAAATAATCAGATTGTGATGTAAACTGTATGTTTACCAAGCATTTTCATGTCTTTTCCAGAGAAAGCTGCTTTGTGACGTTTTGTGTAACAAAAACACGCAGAAATCATTTTTCAGGCCTCTGGCAACACATTTTTTTCCTTTATTCTGAGTAAGATGTGTCAACATCCAGCATGACAAAAATTGTACAAAGTTCACAATTTATAAATGAAATATCACAGCAACTTGTGATTTCACACATTTATAGCAAAATTAAAATGTCAACAAATCCATGCTGTGTAGTACAAAAATAAATCAAACTTCAGTTCCACAGAGAGCACGATAGTTTATACAAAACCCCGTCTTCGTCGATGGCCACGCAAACCAACCTCCAGATGAACCGGCTCCAATAAAATAATAAACTCTGATGAATTCACAATAATTTATATGAAAATTCAGCATTCTAAATATGTGACGACCTGTTTGTCTTCCCTTTAGATAGTCACGGACAACCTCTCAGGTTTGTTATTTATGCACCAACGAGCAGCTGGTTTGTGCTTTAAAGTCCCTTTTTCCATTTTCACTGCTAATGAGAATTAATCCAAAAACTGGTACTAGCTATTACTCTACTGAAGCGTTACTATGTTGGCAAAAAGCTGCAGACACGATGCTGTGGAGAAAGGCCAATGCAGTCATGGATGACGGGTGGTAGAGTCCTACAGGCGGACGCTGAAGTACACTACGAGATTGAGTGGGGCGGACCACGAGCACCGGTTGCGTTCGCTCTGGAAAAGGCAGATTCTGAACATGGTCGCTAACAGCTACGCTGACAGAACGGAGGGTGCGTATTCCCAGATGCTGCTGGATTGCATCGCCCCGCGAAGGTCTCCACGCTTTTGCCTCATCTTTTTAAAAATGTTTTTAAATCATTTTCATTGTTTTTTTTAAAACCTTGAATTGATTGACTGTTTAATTCTTTGTACAGTGATTAGATATAAAGTGCTGCTGGGGGTAACTTAATCTTCCTAAAACATAGCAAAACCGAAACAACTTGAATGTTTTGTACACTTGAGAACAGCCTACAGCACGACATCGTCCTCTTGTCTGATTTCAGAGTCCCTGTTCTTCCTCTCGGTGGTGGGAATCCACGCCTGCACTGGCTCCAAGCGGTTGGTTGCTCCAGTCGTGTGCCAAAGAGGTCATCTGGAAAAAAACATTGCACGCCGCCATACGTAGGGATAATATCTTCAAGGACAAGTGCAAATAGTCTTCTGGCACATAAGTGGGGACAGTGACCCTGTAAGTCCCGCTCTCTATAAATACTCTTTACAAAAAGACCCTCGGAAACCCTCTCCTCAGGCTCTTGGGTACTGCTTTTAGTTTCTGTAAGAACATCAAAACATGGAAACGAAGGCGTCCCTGTGCAAAATCGTACAGAAAAAATGTTGAACTCAGACTTTTGCATCTAAAACTCAATGTCCAGGTTCCCTCCTCTTTTTTAAAAAGACTTTTTGTATTAAAAGATTTGTATAAAAATCAATATTTTACATAGGATATTTTAAAAAGATTCATGTTACCCGGCTATGCTTAGAAACAGGAAATTGCATATACCCAACCTTGTTTTTTTGTATTTTTCCTCTTGCAGATTGCATCGCACACACCTCCTATAAACAAGTGATTTTTGTCATCATATTGCTGAGATATTTCAACACATAATTAAGCAAATTCAGCAGTAGAAAGGCTAAAATGTAGGTCATTGTCTTTACACGTGGTTTCTACCTCAGACTAATTTAGGATGAGCGGCGGGAACATGCACGCCACGTTCCTGCAGGAGATAATCGGCGCTGTTTGGTGCAGTAATGGGATTTCCACCATCGGGTTTCCGTGTAATGATGTTTACAATATAACTGTTCATTCATACATTCATACAGACTCCTCTTCTCCGGATTCACGTACAGCACCGACGTAAGAAAACGCCTCCCCACCCACAGCGACACATCTGTACTCTCCATCAAAACAAAAGCACAAGTGTTCCTCAAGCATTTTCAGAAAATAAAGCAATTCACAAACCAGTTCTTACTCTTAGAACGATCTACACGCAAGAAGAAGAGGACAAAGAAAGAAAAGCAAACAGGTCAAACTCATCCGCCGAGGAGAAAAATAAGCATCTTCCTTGCTTGTGTTTTTTATTTTTGTTTCACTGTTCACGGTTTTCATCTAAACGCTTCGTCGTCGAGCGATAAAAAGAACCTCCGCCATCGTCAGCTCACTGTTCAGGGGTATACACTAAAATGTGCATACATGAGCAGCTAGAAACATTACATGACGCCATGTCAGCTCATATGAAAACGTACAAAATGTGAATGTCCTCAAAAACTATTTTGCGATTTACTCCTTTTACGCTCTTCCTCAAAGCACGACCCCAAAAGAAAGAAGGAGGTTGTCTTGAGGTCTTCCTAAGCGAAACTCCTCCTATTCTCCAGGGAATTAGAATGTTTAACACTATATAAATGACTGCACCGAGCCGAGGAGGTCAAGCGGTCACTGCATGCGTCTCCGTCCGTCGGAGGAACCAAAAGCCTCCCTCCGCCGAGCCGCTACACTTGGATCCCTTGAACCGCTTGCTTGATGTTTTCCAGCAGGGCCTTGTTCTCCGCGCTCTGGTACTGGTCCTGGTTCGTGTACATGTCCGTTAGCGTGGTGACGTAGGCGTCAAAGTTCTGCTCACTTAGGGACTCCTGCAAGTCAAAGGTGTTGAGCTCAAGTCAGAACAAAGTTTAGTTCCTGTAAAACAATGTGTGCTATGGTTCCACCTGAACTGGGCTCGGCTCCCTCTGTCGGCATGAACAACGTTTTTGGGTGCGGGCTGGGCGATACAGCCTAAAATCAGTATCACCATATATCGAGGATTTCACCTGGATAACGATAAATGGACGATAACTACAGGTGTGCGCAGAAACTACAGTTGTCCACTAGATGGCGCTGTCACGTGTAAGGTGGTACAGCTTCTTAAAGCGACGTTGCCAACCTACACACGTCTTTTCTTTTTCTTATTATCAAATTTATTGACGTGGCAAAAATGATCTCGATAAGAGTCAGAAAGCTTGTTGACGATAAATTTTCGATTTGTCGCCCAGCCCTACACAAAGGAGACGCTAATTCATCCTGTCAGCGGCCTCTGAGTGTGCTACCTGGTCACCCCTTAAGACATCTATGCACCCCTGTCTCTGCTGGGATCCCGTACAGGTGAGATGATTGTCTCATGCAGTGGTTCTGGTTTGGACGGCTGATTCTGATGACCAGTTTTTGCACACTTCTCGCCTACTGGTACTCACTTTGACTTAAAGTTCAAGTCCCATCATCACACTGGTGAAATGACACCCCCGCACGTGACCCATCCCCGTGGGGGAGCGGTGAGCTGCAGCAGTGGCTGCGCACGGGAACTACTTGGTGGTTTAACCCTCCAATCCACGCCCTTAAATCTGAGTGTGAAGCAGGGAGGCGCTGGGTCCAATTTTTGAAGTCTTTGGTACGACCCGGCTGGGATTTGAGCGCCGGTCCCAGGGCCGACACTCAACCAGCAGGTCACTGAGAAGTTACCTCTAGATCCAAAGAGCCGTTTCTGCTTCAGTTCCACCTAAATGAAGCTTTTTCAGAGCTGCAGCGGTTTCAGGACTCTTAATCATTTTTGATCAAAAACACAGAAGATGACCTGTACGGGAATGTTTGCTGTGTGAAGGTCCTGGAGACGACTCTGGACCTGATTTGGCGCTTTATAAATAAACTTGAGTTGAATTGAATTAATGCCACTTTTAGTGTCCTATTTTAATTGTTTGTGCTGTTTTCAGCACTTTGGACCACCTTTGCAGGTGTGGAAGCACTATATCATGAACTCACCTGTTCAGGTGACCTTCGGTTGATCCTTCATCAGTACATTCTCCTCATTCAGCTCTTTCTGCCAACTCTATCTTTCTCAGTTCCACTGATTTCACTTTTTCCATTTCCTCACATTTTTAATCACAATTTTTACTTTTTCCTTGTTTTATTTTTTTGTCCTTGAGGCACCTCTGGACACCCCCCCCCCCCCCGTCTTCGGATTGGTGGACTACAGTCTGGCAAGGTCATCAATCTGTAGGAGTCAACGTACTCTTTGCTTCTCCCAAGATCTCCCTCCCACCTGTGACTGTACAGCAGCTGAGCGCCATAGATGGCTACTCTCGCTGGGGGAAACAGGATCCCAGCCCCCCCCCCCCCCCCCCCCCCGCCTTCCTATTGGAGTCTCATGTTATGTTGTGTTGTCTGTTGCATTTCTGTCTGAGGTGTTTTTTTGCAGAGCAAAGCTGCCCTCCTGGTGGAGGGTAACTCGGAAGTGCCTTTTTTCCTCCACCTGAACCAATCCTCATGTAACCCTCTTATCTCTATTAAGGTAGCGCGACTCGGGTTGCGAATGACCACAGTCACCAATTCTTGTCATGTGTCTTGCCCATGTATGTCTGATCTCTCAATTGTGTGTACTGAAACTCTAATTTCCCTCTGGGATTAATAAAGTATTGATTAATTATTATCACCGTATAAAAGATTTCTTCTTCTATATAAATAAAACTGATTGACTGATGAACAGATATCGTTTTCTGATGATGTAATTAGTGATTAGAAGGAATATTGACCAGTTCTGATCAACAGACATTTCTTTAATCTTGATTTAAACCCAACTGAAGACTAAAGAGCATTTTGTGGGATAAAACCTTAAAGATATTTTAACCACACGACTGAAATCAGATCCAACAGAAAACAGGAAGTGGAACCACTGCAGCATAATTCCTCCCATCATTCATCATTTTTGTAAAAAGTCTGACGGATCTCCGTACGTATGCAGGCTGTGAGGTGTTAGTCTGCTTATGTTAAGCTCATTAATTTGTACGTTTGCATTCTGGCTTTTAAAATTCAAGACCTCACACAAACTTTCCAGAAGAAACAAAGAACCGCATTGGTATTCGGAGCATGAGAGGAGCTTCTTAAATTATTTAAGTGAGAGACTTACTTGCTGGTGCATCTGTAAGCAGCTGTTATTCCTCAGAGGAAGCTCTTTGTCTGCCAGCGGTTTCTGCAGACGGTCAGGAAAGACATTTCTTTAAGCTCAGTTAGCAAAAGGTGCTGGTGCTACGTTTAAACACTAGGTGGCAGTATTTGACAGACAGCAACGTGGAAACGGCCTCAAAATCAGAGAAAAATGCAAGTAGGACACAAGTGGAGACAATGCCAGGACTAATGATGACACAAGCAAGTGTCACAAGTCAGTTTTAATTCCTAATTTCTGTAATCTGCACTAAAGTAAACGCAAGATAAGAGAACGGCTTTCACTGAAAAGGGGATGCTGAGTCATGGTTTGATGTTTCACTTTGTCAGTGGATGATTTACTACAAAAGAGACGATGATGACAGAGTGAGGGATGAAACCAGACACAATTATCTGTGATTACAGCAAAACATCAGCGACAAAAGAGTGAAAGAAGAGGATCCGAAGCAGAGAAAAGGCTGTTTGTAAATGTCCCCGGTCCAGGTTCAGATGACAGCGACGCGGCTCGCGTCATCGTAGATAAAATCCATCCCCACAGGATAACTCCTTTAATAACGCACCTCCATCACAGCAAACAAAACCTCAACATAATGCTGCGTTTCGGCCGAGGAGCTGAACTTTCAGCTCTCGCTACAACCCTGCCCTCGTTTCACAGCTCCCCCTCAGCGTTTGGAAAGACAAGCGACGCTCTGCAGTTTGGAGTACGCATGCACACAGAGCCGTGAATACACAGATAGGGATGCTGTGGCTAGCTATAGCCTGCGCTCTGCTGGCCCGCCGTTCCCGCTGGCCCTTACCATGTGAGGGAGCTGGGCATTGGTTAAACTGTTAATCAGTGACTGGCCGAGGTCGGCCAGCTCATGCAGCAGAGACTCATTTTGCTGTTCAATCACCTTGTTTTCCTCCTCTATGGACTTCAAGCTGGACTCCATTGTTGTGATCTGCAGAGAGAGAGGGAGGGCAGCGCGTCATGCACCAAGGCCGAACGGGGACGACAAGCCAACATGGAGGACAGGAAGTGACTCACCTGTGTTCTGAGTTTGATCATGTCCGTCTCCACTTGTGAATTGGACTCACTTAAATCTTTGATTTCTTCATCCAGCTGCTTGATGTCGTCGTCGTGCTCCAGCCCTGTAGAGGTCACACGGGTCAGGTTAGCAGCCTGAAGCCATTAACAAGGACACAAAACGAGCTACGTGCTGTGGTCACGTCCACTAAAGGCCACGCAGATGCAACCGTCTGAACGACAAACGACATCATCACCCTGTCACTTTCCTCTGTGAGAGGCTGAAGCCCAGGCGTCCCACGTCTGATCACTGCCAACTAAAAGCAGACTGCTGCACCAGACTGGAACCACTCGTCTCATTATTAGCCCTGAATGGCCGTTTATTTGCGACGCTGCCCACCACGCGCCATTCTGATTGGTTTATTATCTGAAATTGGAACTCTCCTCTGTAAATCATTCCACATCCTTGTTCCTGATTGGCTGCATTGTGTGTGCGTGAGTGCTGGTGGTGCTTACCATTACTGGCGCGTTGCTGCTTTATTGTTAGCATCTCCACTCCCGAGAGCCTGGCTTTCCTCATGGCGGAGGTGGCACGTGGACAACCCGACAGACTGCAGCGGCAACAAGAACCGAGCATTGTTTCATCATGGAGTGCATTTGTGGTGAGCCTGTCTAAGGATGGCGTCATCAGCAAACAACATGCTCTGTTATGATTGGCTAACGGTGTTTATCATGGGTGGAGACTGGCATCAGTTTTCTCTTTCAGTTACTGAAAAAAGCAGCAACCCAGTGTGGATCCGAGGTGTCCAAGGCGTGGCCCTCAGAGGGATTCAGACTGAAACCAAGAGCAGGAGAATGTTCTCCCTCTAGCTCTGCACACAGACTAGATGCCTCATGTTCACATGTAATCTGACTGGTAAGGCTTCCCTTATAAATGACTAATTATGGTATTAATTAACGCTGTAAGAACCATGAACAAGTCTTTATTAAGCATTAATGGAGCGTGACAACGAGAGAACCCTCAGTGGTTTAACCCTGGTACTGGTCACCAGTACGGTCACCAGTACGGTGCTGTGGTCTCGGGTAGGAAGGGGCTGTGAGTGGTTTTCTGTGGGGAGCAGCTCCAGAGCTCCTGTTTCAGGAAGAGAAGTTGGTCGTCGGAGTGGAGGGCAGAAAACGGCTCGTACTCGTTAACATGCAAACGTCTGGCCTCTGATTGGCTGACAGCAACACGACTCTTCCACTGCCTTCATTTGTTCTCGTTTCGTGGGTAAAAAGTGCAACATGGACGTTCTGCTTTCACAAACAGCAAGAGCTGGAAGGTGTTCGGCCATGTTGCTCATGCTAACGGTTAGCCTCCACTAGCCGGGATGTGCTCTGTGGTTGTCAAGGTGGGCGAGTCCATGAATGCTCATCGTAACACAGAGCTGTCTGGCTTTTCTGACTCCGCCTACTTTCTGTCACCGGCTAATTCAGGCGATGCGCTTGTGAAACTCAGCGTGACGGATCGTACGAGAATCACAAGGTTCTCATTCCAGCTGACCTTTAAACTCATGAATGAGAAATGATGAACCCATAAAGTGTTTATTAGCCTTTAATAAGGGAAGCCTTGTGGCGGTGGCGGATGAGTAAAGCCCCGCCCCTTAACCGGAGGGTTGCAGCTTCCTCTTTAATGAGGCAAACATATAAAACCATTTTTGCAACTTATGGAGGTTTAGGGAATCGTTCTCTGTACTTTTGTTTAAACGCTGTCCAGCGACGTCTCCATGACCCACCTTCGATGGGTCAGGAAGCTGCCGCTGACGTGCCCCGAGCCATCGCAGCCTGGCGTCGGGCAGGACATTCCCTCCGTCTTCCCGGACTTCCATGTGAACTGAATACCGTTGAGGTAGCCGTCCTTTTGTCTTTTGGCTGCGATGGGACATCCCGATGCACTTCTGTGGGACGCATATTTCCCCGTCACGTGTCCCTGACCATCACAGCCGGGGACTGGACACCTGGCCAGAGAGGAGGAAGGACGCTCGTCTCAGTATTTCTTTAGAGGCATCTCGGCCACAGACTCCGTAAAACACTGAATACCTCCAGGGCTAAGTACATTTTCCTGTTTCTCTCCCTTTTATTTTGCTTTAATTGGTAAAAAACATGATTTACATCAGCTGCCTCGGTGGTGTCAGAACGCTGGCAGTGCACAAACATCAGCCGCCAGCTGCTGTGAACGCATGAATCTGATTGGTGAATAAAAGCTCCCTGGTTATCGTCCCCTTCTATTGCTTTTTGTGCATTAATAAATAGTATCTGAGAGACTTTATTTGACTATTTCCCCAGAAACAATCCCCTCTCTAGACGTTTTATCATATTTAAACACGCTGAAGTCACCTGAGTAAACGACCTGGTGAGAACAGCAATCATACGTTCACCACTCCATTGATGTTTGGATCAATAAGCAATTTTAGAAGATGAATCCTACCTCAGCTGAATGCAGGGATTAACATCTTAATCCCTAAAGTTTCCCCTTGCATTTGCTTAAAGAAATCATTACATGTCTTATGAAAGTGTTGGTGGAGAGACGCCCGGCGCCGTTCTGCAGCATGACGACTAAAACATAAACACTACTCGTGTGGTTTCGTACGATCCGATGATATAAAAGTGAAGAATGAATTAGTTGAAGAAAATGTGTTTGGACCGTCTCAACATCATCTCTAAATAAGTATGAAGCCTCGTGTAATAAACATGGAACTATCATGAAACGCTCCTGTTAATTTTATGCAGCTAATTTGTAAAACTCTAAATTCCAGCATATCGAGCGTAATATTCTAATCCCGAAGCACGTTTTAAAGCCAGAATGAGTTTTATTTGATGTTTTTAAGCCCAATTAAACTAAACAAGGAACAGAAAAATAAGTTCAGTTCTCCGCTTTGAGAGAGAATCACCTGGAGCCAATGCTGACGCATTTATGTTCATTCTTGTGTTAAATAAACTAATAAATAAATGTTATTTACTTTAACTTCCTGTTTTACTCTCGTCATCCACCGCAGCCCCCCAGCGTTCAGCGGGACCCTGCGTCGGCTCAAGTTGGGATCTCCGTCCCGAGGAGGAAGGATACGGACTAAAAGCTGGAGCTGATCATTTTGTGCGTAACTACAACATCGTCCCACGAGTTCTTGATGCCGTTTGCAGCGTTTAGAAAGTTCTCCTGATTTGAACACGCTGTCCTGGCAGTCTGCTCAGGATCCAGCAGAACGACATGCTCGAGAATGTTGTTTGTGCTCTGCACCACCAGAGAAATCAATGCAGCTGCAGGGCTGAGGCCACAGAAGCCCATTGTGGGATTTAGGCAGAGTCAATCAATCTCTCTCTGCCTCTATCTTCTGCTCTCCCTCTACCTACGTGTGAGTTCACCAGAGACTGCAGAACCGGCTCCCTCTAAACTGCTACAGCCTTGCACGTCTGAAGTTCCTCCTGCACCTTCAGACCGAAGCTTCACACTCTTGGCACATTCGTCTAGTCAGGGCTGGTTTATTCCCGCTTACAGGGACGCAAGTCAAACTCCGCAACACGCACTGACTGCACAAAACATGGCAGGACTGATTCCAAATTGCACGTTTTAAAACAGGAAATGAAAGGTCATATGTCACACGCGGCAAACAGGGAGGAGTGCTAGTCGCAGACGGAGGCTGCAGCTGTGGGCTTTCACAGCCGGGCCGAAGACTGATGATGTGTGTCTGGACCGCACCTGATGGGCTCCTGGTCCTCTTTATTCTCTTTACTGTGGATGATCTTTATCCCGCTTTTCCTGGCCCGCGGACAACCTGAAAGACTGCAGATAAACCACAGAGAAGCAAAGCTGAAGAGCACAGGTCGTTACGGAGCGTGGGCTGGACGGTTTGAGTCTCCTCGGTTGGAGCGGTACCTTCTGTGTGAGGCGTAGTTGCCAGTGATGTGTCCCGAACCGTCGCATCCCGGTGTCGGGCACCTGGGGCAGAAAATACCAAAACTACTCAGAGCATGGAGCAGACCTGAGGCGTCCTGATGAGGATCGTGTATAAAGTTACCGTCTTTCCACGCTGGCTATAATAACCCAGATATAAAACACATCAGAGCAACTGCTGCTTTTCTTGGCTTTGGCGATGAAGTTAGCAAAGAAAAACATCCAATTCATCTCAGCATCTCACTGCATCAATGAGATCTCCTGCTAAATTACCTTTGTGGCATAAAATATTCATTAAAGGAGCCATTTTGTGCTCATTTGAAGGATAAAAAGTTCATTTTAGAGATGATTTAAACGGTTTTCTGATATTTAAAGAAAGACTAGGCAGTTTAGGCTTGATTTTAGCGCCCCCTACTGTTCATTTACTAAAGCCAAAAGCTGTGCGTTTGCCTTTTTAACACCTTAATCTAACAGCTGAAATGTCTCCCAGCCTTTATTAGTGTCTACAGGAGCGATTCATCACTAAATTAAACAAATCAGCTGCGTTCCTGATCTAAAACATGCAGGAAACGTGTTGGAAGCAGGCTGCAGCACCAGGTATGTCAGGCCAGACCAGCAACTCTGAAGTTGCAAGTGCAACATCCTGGCCACAGGGGGACATAGGGGCTGGTGGGGCTTTCATTAACCCTGTAAAGAGTCATTTTAGCACAAACTGGCTCAAGAAAATGATTTAAAATATGAAAAAGTGGCAAAGTATCCCTTTAAATACCACATTAATGACATTTATCTGATGATTTTCTGCCTAAAATACTTTTTTAGTACTTTTAAAGAAACTTCTCCCACAGAAAAGGAGCGTCACCGTGCTTTAGCATGCTGTTTTGGCCAAATTGGTCAGAGGAGAAACAAACTGGACAAGAACAAAAGAGACAAACCTGCTTTGGATTCTGCTTTCCTGCACTACGAAATGAAGACATTTGGGGGAATGGAAACAAAAAACATCACATGCAACCTCTAGCTGGGCTCCGTGAAACAAGTGAAAAGTGTTGCAGCTCCTTCTGTTAGCATAATATTTCAGAATAAAGGGGAAAATCTCTAAATTACAGCATTCTGATTCATTTTGCACAAAGACAAAATCATCTTTTAGGTGAACTTCTTTAAAAAGACGGGAGCTGGACCAGTGGTCGGGTTTCTGTTTTCAGCTGCTGATTAACATTTATTTGTGCTTTAATCAGGGCAGTGAGCGAGGCACCGGGACGATGTGGTCATGCAGGGACCTGCCATCCACAGCTCCACTGGCAGCAGAACCATCGGTGCTGTTACTGTTGGCTTTAGCTGTTTCGTGTTGATGGTTTTAAAAATGCACAAAAATAAAACATGCACGTTTAAGCTTCTCTCTGCGCACAGCTGTGCACGACCGGTTCTTATGCAAGGCACACACACATTTACAGTTAATCATTTCAAAACCTTACTTGAGCTCTTGTGCGTTGTTGGCCAGCATGCTCCGAATGCTTTTATCGGCTAAAGGACAACCTGAGAGGCTGAAAAATACACCAGCGAAACATTAACTACCACAAAAAAGAACAATTAAAAAGACACTCCAACCACTCAGAACACTCAGCACACGCGCATAAATAAAATATCAACCAGCAAATGTAAGAAAGCCATGATGCAAGTGCAGGGAGCTGATTTAAAGATGCGAACCCTCTGAGTATCTAACAGAACAGAAACGGGAACTTTTAGTGCTTCTGCGCCGGCGTCATTCAGGGCTGACGGAATATTTTGCACCTGAAAACTTGGTTGGAATTGAAAGATTGTACACAGGAAGTCTGGAGTCTGACATCGTTCGATGCTCGCAGACTTAACTCATACTGCAGCACTCAGCACTTCCTGCTCTGAATGGTAAACGCACCGTCTGCACCGGACTGTGAGAAGGGCCCAGAGGACTGAATAACATCGGCTTAGGGGGCTTTGCAAACGGCCCGTCGAGAAATAACTTTATCCAGGGGTTCAGCTGAAAAATCAGCATGTGTCCAATCCTTAATTAATTTCCTCTTCTTCTGCGTGCCAACCGCCAAAGGGCTGACCAGCAGGAGACCCTGCCTGCAGATGTTCGACAGCATCGTCGAGGTAAGCTGAAAACAATAAAGGAAAACAGAATCCACCAGGAGAAAAGGAAGTCACACCTTCGATGTGAGGCGAAATTGCTCGTCAAGTGACCACTTCCATCACACCCCGGTGTGGGACATCTGCCACCGGAAAGATAGACAGATTTATAAGCCCAAAGGGAAGGAGAAGAAAATGGGAAAACTTACAGGGAAAAGGGGAAATTTTCCTTTTTTTTCCTGTTGTTGGTTTTCATTGTTTCCAGTTTAGCTTCACTGTCTGTGATTAATTCCTGCAATCGGCGACATGGAATGATAGCGACCACTTAGGATGTTTGAAAGCTGATAAATAAAAGTCACATGGCGAGCCAGCAGCACAGGGTGGGAGAGGGAGGGAGGGGTGCTTTGCTGAGGGTAACTGGAGTGAAGGATGATGAAGGAAGGAAGAAGCTGAGCCAGAGTGGGTTCTTACGTTATCAGGTCCTTCTTACTCTCCTTGCACTGGGCGTACTTGGGCTTGGGGCTGGGCATGTTAACATCCGCGGTGTAGGATCGATCGTCCAGGAGGTCATGGAAGGGGTCCAGGTCATCGGGCTGGAGAGAGACGAAAACGAGAGAGGAAGCACCGTTTGTAAGACTGGTATAAAAACCCTGCTCCTGCCTCCTTCCTTACCTCATTCTCTATCCCCCACCACACACACACACACACACACACACACGTGGGCGCACACACACACGCACGCACGCGTGCACACACTCACATGCACGCACACACACAAATACACGCGCACACACACACACACACACGTAGGCACGCACGCACACACACACACATGCACGCATACACACGCACACGTAGGCACGCACGCACACACACACACACACATGCACGCATACACACGCACACGTAGGCACGCACGCACACACACACACGTAGGCACACACGCACACACACACGTAAGCACGCA